TAAAGTTTATGGAATAACTCAAGATCCAGAAACCAAGAACTATATGGTCGTTTTGGAGAATATATGTGAAAAATGTAATAAAGTGTATCATTTTAAAAATTTGACTAGTGGTAATAATGTTATCGATAAATTTATTCAAGATACTCAGCTATCAGAACATGCTTGTTATTATGGTGTAAAAAATGTATTAGAATGGATACCTTATGATAGATTTTATGATATTAAATATATTGCAAAAGGTGGGTTTGGAAAAGTATATAAAGCAAAATGGTTTGATGGTTATATTGATAAATGGGATGATCATAATCAAAATTGGAAAAGAAAGGATCAAAACATGGTTGTAGCTCTGAAAAGTTTAAATAATTCAAGAAATGTTACATTGGAATTTATGAATGAGGTAAGCTATTTAACTATTCTTAATAAATATTTAATTTAAGTATTGATACTTATTTATAATATTTATAGATTACATTACATCATAAAGTAAATTTGCATAAACGCTTTATTAAATTTTATGGAATAACTCAAGACCCAAAAACTGAAAATTACATTATGGTTTTAGATTATGCAGAAAATGGAAGTTTACGAAATTATTTAGATACAAATTATAGTAAATTGAATTGGGGTGATAAGATTAATTATTTACATAGCATTGCACATGGACTCAAAAATATTCATGAAATAGAATTAATTCATCGAGATTTGCATATTGGTAATATATTAAGGCTCAAAAATCTCACTTGTATAACTGATATGGGATTATGTAAACCTGCTGATTATAATACATCGGAAAATGCAAAAAGCAAAATATATGGTATTTTACCTTATATTGCCCCTGAAATTTTACGTGGACAAAATTATACAAAAGCTGCAGATATTTATAGTTTTGGTATAGTAATGTATGAAGTAATTTCTGGATTACCTCCGTATTATGATGTAGGTCATGATATAGATTTAACAATGAAAATTTGTAAAGGACTTCGACCAAGGTTTAATATTAAAGTACCTTATTTGATTGTGCATTTAATTAAAAGATGCTTGGATGCAAATCAATCAAATCGACCAAATGCAGAAGAAATTAAAAAAACTTTAAGTCAATGGCTTAGAGAATTAGTTGATTTGATAAATAATAGTAATATTATTAATTATACAAGTATACAAAAGCAAATTAAGGAAATTGATGAAATAAACAAAAGTTCATCAAATAGCAGTATAACTTCGACAAATTTAGGAATATCTTATGTAACACATTCAGAAGCTGTTTATACCAGTAGATTACTTGATTTTAGTAATCTTCCTGAGCAAAAAAATTCTGACGATTATTATGAAGTAAATGATAATATAATTAGCATGAAATTTTCAGGTATTATTAGTAAAAAAAATTTTCATATTAATTGTAAAAAATACTGATCAGGTTTAATCTTTAATAGAATCCTTACAAATTGATATTTCTCAATTGGAAAATAATAATTTCAATGAACTAAAAAATTCAAATGATATTTATAAGAAAAATGACAAATTTAACATAAAAACAAAAGGTATGTTTTATAAAAAATAAAACTAATTGTAAGTATATTAATAAATTTTTAATTCATTAAATAGAATCCTTACAAAGTGATATTCTACAATTAAGTAATTTTCCTGAGCCAGATAATTCTGATGATTCTTACAAAAAAAATGATGATGTGATTAGTTCGAATTCTTCAGGTATTGCTTAATAAAATGATATCAGTTTATTATTTAAAAAATACTAATTTCTTTCTATTAAATAGAATCACTACAAATTGATATTTCTCAATTGTAAGATGGTAATTATTCCTAAATATGAATATAATATACTTATTTATTTGTTCGCTTTTTAGACTAGAATAGCAAATCTAAGGGCAAGAAAACCATTTACTATTTTAGTTATTGTAAAATTTTAGAAATTTTATATTTTTAAGTATTTTTTTTTCGCCATTATAGGTTAAAAATTTAACAATCATTATTCTTCAGTGAAAAGGTAACAATTATAGACTACTTTATTGGTTTAAAAATGATTGTTTTTTGCCTTTCAATAATTAGTTGTGAATTGCAATTTTTAATTAATTTGATAAAGCTATAAAGTATAATGATAAAATTAGAGAATAGTAGAAATAGAAATAATGCTAGATTGAATTTTAAATTATACTGGCCTTATTGTTTAACTTTTATATATTTATTATATTTTTTTTCATTTATCTTATATTTACTTGATTTATTATTGATTAAATAAAAACTTTTTAAACTAAAATGTGGAGTAATAAAATTAATAATATGTTCCTGATTTAAAATAATTGAAAATTATATTGCAATATGGAATAGCTTTAATTATATTACTGGTGATATTTTTTTAATTATCCATTAACAATTAAGATCAAATTCACGTATAAAAAACTAATATCCCATAAATTTAACATTGATTTCAATAAAATTAATTATTATACTTTTTATATATGATAAATATCAACATTTTCTTTTAAATTTTATAATATACTTAAAAATTTTATATTTGAAATTGTTATTTAAATAATTATAGTTTGTTTCTTTTTTTTTTAAGCGTAGGTTAGAAAAAAATAATAATGTCATCATTTAAGTTTTTTTTTGATCTACTAATGAAAATTACTTTTTCAATAAAGAAATAAAAAAGAAAGTAATTAATAAAGAAAGAGTGTTTTTTTTTCAATGAAAAACCAATAAAAAGTTTGGTATACAATAAATTACAATAATATAATAAAACGCATAGTTCACAGTTGAATCATAAATAAATAAGGTATCTAAAGTTAAAGAAGTAAGGATAAAGAGGAGCTTAAATCTATAAAAGATGGTACTTTAAATAAAATAGTTTGCGGAAAATTATTAAGTTTAACACAAATTATTTGTAATATTACATAGTAAATGAACAGGACCCAGAAATATATATAAAAGGATCAGGTTTGAGTTTGCGTATTTTGAACTAAAAAAAATCATGAAAATCTTTCCTTTTTTAGATAATTTTTGATAATGCTGGTCAGAATTTTATTTCCTATTATAGTTACCGACTGACATTATCATAATTCCAGCCCTGGAAAAATGCGTACAGCTCATAGTAAAAAATTTTTTTCATCACCTGACCCCTATATATATATTTCTGGGTCCTAAATAAACTTAACTATTTAAAAATCACTGCCTTACAAAGAACAACTAACTTATAATAATATATTTATCATCTTTATCATCTTTCTTAAATAACTCGAAGTTGTGCATCATCCAGTAGTACTCTCCCCAGTTAGATTTTCTTGTTACAAAACTACAACGGAGAATAGCTTGTTCTATGGTTACCATTTTTTTAAAGGTGGTATATTTTTTATCGTGAGCTTTTTCACATTCTTCGTAAGCTTTATTGACATTCTTTCTATCACCCTCGAATGTTTGCCAATAAGCCTTCCCAGCTTTCTTGTCTTCATCTGCCGCTCTGCCATATACTTGTTCAGCTTCTTTATGCCGTTTCCATAATTCGTCTCTACACCAAGTATACCAAGTGCGGTTATGTAATAGATGTTTGCCAAATTTATTAATCGGACAGACCGCAATGAAGATATCCACAATCTTAGGGCTTTGCTTTCTGCATTGCTCAAGAAGTATTTCCCTATTGATATCTATAAGATCAGGGACTGTGCAGCTGAAGATTGTTGCTGACTTTTCTGCGGTATACATGTTGTTTGTCCTTATAGGTTACTTATGGTCTACCTAATCTTCAATTGCCGAATATATTTTTTCCAAAGATCTGCACTCCTATCTGGTTATCCTCCTGCGATCCTGCAGTCCTGCGGTCCTCCGGTCATACCTGGTTATCTTCTAGGGATAAAAAAAAACCTATAAACCATAAACCTTTACGACTGCTCTAAATCTTCCCTTCCTCTTTTTCAATCCACATATATCTAGTAAAATCCACACTGCTCAAGAGCTTGCCTTACCATACCATGCTCTATTCTGGCTTCTATTTTCTCTTTACAAGCCTTATGATACTCCTTCCATTTAAGCTCATGAAGTTCATGATTTCCAATACCCTCCCTTTCATATGATTGACCAAGAGCATCCCCCGCTTTTTCCCTCTTTTCTACTGCCTTGTCGTATGCCTCATCGGTTTTCTCATGCCGCTTCCACAACTCAGCTTTACAACAGTTGTACCAGAGTCTGTTTATCTTGAGGTGCTTTCCAAATTTTTTGATCGGAAGGTTTCTGAACATCCCTGCTACTATGTCTGGGTCATTGAGAGGTGATGCTTGCATTTGGGTCTATTTACAGATTCCATAGATGTCTACAAGATCAAGTCCAAGATCTTTGGCAAGAGAAGTAGCTGCATGCAAGTTTATCATATGCATGTTTCGTGTTAGGTATTCTTATATATTACTTATGGTTTACCTATTGTTCAATTACTATTTTTTCTGACGGAGCAAGTGGCCATAGTTCAGTGGTCATAATTTGGTAGTCATAGTTTAGTGGTCATAGTTTGGGACATACTTGGAGGTCCAGGTAAGTGTATAAAGGGTAATTATAGCTTTAATCGGGTTTTGGAGCCTGAGGGGCTGACTAAGGTGTCCATAGTTCAGCTGCCATAGTTCGGGATATAGAGTGGTCATACTTGGGGGTCATAGTTCAGCTGCCATAGTTTGGGTGTCATATTTCGGCTGCCATAGTTCGGGACATGCTGCCATAGTTCAGGTGCCATAGTTCAGGACATATGGGGGTCATACTTGGAAGTATAAGTGAGTGTATAAAGGGTAGTCATAGCATAAATTGGGTTTTAGGGTCTGAGGAGCTGACTATGGCTGCCATAGTATTATCATAAGATTTTTCATACTATGGCAGATACTATGGCAGGAGATTCTGTCTGATTTTGGCTTTATTCGTGTTTTTATTCTGTTTTTTAGTAGTCTGCCATAGTTGCCATAGTTGCCATAGTTGCCATAGTAAGTTATATATAAGAAAAAATATAGAAAAAAAAATAAGTGGAAAAATACCATGGCAGACCATGGTACTGTGGCAGGTAAACCTGCCCCACGAAGGGGGAAGGAGGTACTGCGAAGCCGTGAGGCCGAGGTGGAGGAGCGTAGCGACTACACTACCAGCCCGACAATGGAATTAATGCCCATTACACACACCACCGAACCATATAGGAGCAATGTACACGTCGCCAAACCGTATAGGAGCAATGTACGTACCGCTGAACTATATAGGAGAGAATTAACGCCAATTATACGTGAACCTTATAGTAGTAATTGGACTAGAGATGTAAATGGTGAGCTACAATTGACTTTTGTATTCATTTTAGAGTTCTGGTCAACTTTAACGTTTTTTTA